TTAAGTCAAAAAGGAATCTCCAAAAGAAGACTAAGGAAATCATTACATAACAATAAGAGGGCATATTCAGCAAGAGAATATGAAAATTGTAAATATACAAGCACTCAACATGGAGCATCCAAGTGTTTAAAGCAAATACAATTAGCACTAAAGGGAGAAAGAAACTTAAATACAATAATAGTTGAGGGGGACCAGCAGAAAGCTTAGTGGTTAAGGCACTGTTGGCCACATGGCCAACCACGGTTCAAGTCCCGGACCTGGTAGCTTTCTCTCTCTTTCTCTTTCTCTCTCTCTGCCCCTCTCTGGACAAATTAAAATAAATAAATGAATAAATAAAATAATTCTTAAGAAAACAAAAACAATAACAGTTGAGGACTTCAACACCTGACTTTCAGCATTGGACAGATCATTTAGACAGAAAACCAACAAAGATACATCAAATTTAAACTGCATTATAAATCAAATATGCCTAACCTAAGAAAACATTTCACCCAATATCTGCAGAATACACATTTCTTCTCATCAGCACATGAAACTTTCTTCAGATAGATCATATGTTATGCTAAAATAAGTCTCAACAAATTCAAAAAATCCAAAATCATATCAAGTATCTTTTCTGACCATAATAAATAATAAACAAAACAAGTAAAACTAAAAACAAACAAGAAAAATATTGGAAAATACACGAATACATGGAAATTAACATGTTCCTGAATCAATAAAGAAATTAGGGAAGTTAAAAAAAATTTGAAACATATAAAAAAGAAAACACAAAACCAAAATTTGTAAAATACAGCCAAAGCAGTAAAAAAAGAAAAGTTTATAGTAATAAGCATTAATATAAAAAAAAAAGTAAAGAGGGCCAGCAGGAAGTTAAAGGATGATCAATACAATATGATACAAGCAACATTAGGAAAAAAACATGTCGGGCCAGTCAGGTGGCATACTAGTTAATGCTGCTGGATCCCACATGGCTGTTAGAAAGGTTTAAGTCCCAAACCTGGTGACTTGAAAAACACATGGGAAGTATGTGTCTGTGAGCCCAAAATCCCAAGAGGAGAATGGGGGAGAAGGGATTGGGTGTGGCCATCCCCCCGAAGGGTGATTTATTTCTCACTTTCTCTCTCTCTTTCTCTTTGTCTCTCTCTAGTAAACTTGCATGCATTATGGCAAAAACTTAAAAAACAAAACAAAACAAAACAAAAAACACAGGAAAAAGATTCCAAATAAACAACCTGATGTTTCTCCTCAAAAAACTAACAAGGCATGAACACAACAACCTTCAAATTAGTGGTGAAAAAAAAAAAGAATATATAACAGAGCAGAATTCTAGGGACTTCTGTCATTTTCTTTGTTTTCTATATGCCCCATAGTATTTTCTGTCATTTCCAGCATTTTTGTGGTCTTTTGTGTTTAGTTGATTTTTTTAAATAGTGAAATATTTAAGTTCCTCTCTCATTTCTTTTGTATATCTTCCATAACATTTTCTTTGCAGTTACCATGGTGATTATATTTAACATTTTAAGTTGCTAGAACTCTAATTTTATATCAGTTAAATTTCAATAACATACAAAATCTTTTCTTTTTACAGCTCCACCTCCACTCCTTTTGGCTGTTGATGTAACAAAACTACATCTTTATACATTGTTTGTCCATAAACAAAATGTGTTATCATACATTAGACTCTTAAATTATGTAGAACACAAATGTAATGTGGAGTTACAAAAGTACTCCAATAATAGCTTTCAGACTAACAGTGGTTCTTCTAAAAAAATTTATTAGTCTCTTAAAGCATGTAGAAAATAGAAAGTGCCATTATAAACTGTGGTTACAATAATTCCATACAATAATTCCAGCCTTTTCAGTTGCCTGCTAATTTACCTTTATTGAGGACTTCACTTCTTCATATGTATTCAAGTTACTGTCTAGTATATTTTCATTTGACCCTGAAGGAATTCCTTGAACATTTCTAATAGGGAACTTTTAGTACTTCCCTCAACTTTTGTTTATCTGGGAATGACTTCATTTTATCCTTACCTTTGAAGTACCATTTTGCTGGATATATGATTTTTCGTTAATTATTTTTTCTTTTGAGACTTTGAGTATATCAGATTGCTGCCTTCTGCACTCCAAAGTTTCTGATGAGAAATCTCTTATAAACTTATGAGGATCCCATGTAAGTGATAAGTTGCTTTTCTTTCAGCTTTCAAGATTCTCTGTCTTTGTCTTTCAGGAGTTTGACTATAATGTATTTTAGTGTAGATCTCTGTGTTCATCTTACTTAGAGTTTATTGAGTTTCTCAGATGTTTATATTTACATTCTTCATCAAATTTGGGGAAATTTCAGCCATTCTTTTTCTTTTTCTTTTTCTTTTTTTTGGAGAGATTTTTGCTAGAGGGCGTGTGCGCTTGCCAGACAGACAGAGGGAGACATAGAGACAGAATGCGAGAAATCACCCCCCAGGGGGGATGGTCACGCCGCAATCCCTTCTCCTCCATTCTCTTGGGATCTTGGGCACACACGCACACGCGCCCAACATGAGTTTTAAACGACCGGGTCTGGAATGCGAACCGCGGTCGACTATGTGGGAGTCCAGCGACATAGCCATTACACTAACTGCCCCCAGCCACATAGCCATTACACTAACTGCTGGTTCCCCAGCCATTATTTTTTCACATGTTTTCTCTTTCTATTTCTCTTTCTCCTTTTATTCTGGGATTCTCAATGCTTAGCCACTTGATGGTATCACACAGGTACATTGGGTTCTGCTCACTTTTCTTTCTTTCTCTTTCTTCTTCTTTCTTTATTTATTTTTAAATTTTTGTCATAGGGTGTGTGCACTTACTGGGAAGAGAGAAGAGACAGAAAGAGATAAAGAGAGGGAAAGTGACAATCACCCTTAAGTGGGATAGCCACTATCCCTTATCCTCCATTCTTCTCTCAGGATTTGGGACACACATGCATATGCACACACGTCAGGTATATTTTTC